CCCATTCCTCAACCTGCTGAGATCATTAGGCTGACAGAAACATGTAAAATAGATAATCATAAAATCTAATAAAACACTGATAGTCAGTAAATGTTTTCTAATGTTCACGTGCTTGCTCAACAAAATAAAGAAATGGTATCATCAACAGGGAAATCTACTAACTATAAATTTTCCATTTTAAACTTTATAGATTTTAGTTTGTAGCCTAGCTCTTGTTATCAGCAAATCTGCTAAAAATGATAATTCAACAGAGAAACTAAAGGCAGAGGTGTAAAGATGCACAAAGCACATGTTTTTGCAACAAAACTCGAAAAATGTTGATTTTTTTCATATATGTATATATTTTACTTATGATGTTTAAACATATATGCGGATTCAGTGTTCAGAGATGTGAAACAAATAAATAAATTAGGAGCTAAACAAAATGATCATGGATTTTTCATTTTAACAGAAAACAAACCCGTCTTACAGCAAAAAGCCTTAGCTTTGCAGCAATTGTGTACGGTAGGTTAATTCATTTCTCAACCGAAGTTATGGTATCTTTGATTATGGTATCTATAGGTATGTCATACCTATACATTAATAAATTGCTCCCAATTTTTTGGTTTAGGACATATTTTATGTGCAATAAGCAATCCCCAAGGAAATGCCTGACCTAAAAGACGGAGCTTCCCTACATCAGCATGGCCTTTCTAAAACATCTGCATAGATTTGATTGAAATAACTAAAACAAATATTGCTTGGTTTTACATATATATATTCTAAATGGGTTGAAATAGTATGTGCTAAACCAGATGCAACAACAGTAGCAAAACTTTGTCAACTGAAATTATGCCAAGGTTTGTTATTCAAAAATCTACAGCGATAATGGAACTAATAAATTTAAACTCGAGAAAATCAGCATGGAAATTGGGAAAACATTTTTTTCCTGTTTTAGTCATGGGTTAGGGTTATTATCTACCAATGTTTGAATATCACCACTATAAAGACTAAAGCCCATTACTTCTGATAAGCTTTGTGTTTAACAAATGCACAATTTTTTCCTTAAGTTGGATCTACAAAATGCATACCATGTGGTATGTGTCCAAGAGGGGATGAGTGGAAAACAGCATTAAAGACACAATCATAATACTTTGAATACTTGGTCATGCCATTTAGAGTGTTCCTGCTGTGTTTCAAGCTATAATTAAGGACTTCCTCAACTAGTTTGCATTGTTTATGTCACAATCTGTGTTTTCCTTTGTAGATGTTTCTGTTTTGGGATGTTTATTTTCTGTTTTGTGTTGACGTTCAGTTTGTTTCTTATCATTCCCATGTACTTTACCTCAGTCGGTTTCTCCTCCTCAATCCTGCCCCACCTACTTACACCTGTTTCCTGTCACCATCAAGTCAGTTGTCTCTATTCACCTCATCAGCCCCAGTCCATTTATTCTGTCAGCTCTCACTCATCTGCAGTCTGGCATTGTGGTTCCTTTCCCTATCCTGTTCGCCTCTGTGGGTTTTGTTAGATGGAACTCTGCAATGTGTACTGGTCTATCTAAAAAATTGAATATCGTGAAAAAGTTCAATTTTTTTGTCATTAACTTCAGAAAGTGAAACTCATATATAACATAGATTCTTTACACATAGAGTGAAATATTTTAAGCCTTTATTTCTTCTAATTCTGATGATTACAGCTTACAAATAATGAAAAACCCAAATTAGGTGTCTCAGAAAATTAGAATATTACAGTGCCAGCTTTTGGTTGGCAGTGTGGGCAGGTGCCAAGTCCTGCTAGACCAGAAAATTCAGTGGACCAACACCAGCAGATGGCATGGCACCCTAGATCATCACTGTCTGTGGAAACTTCACACAGGACTTCAAGCAATGTGAATTCTGGGCCTCTCCACTCTTCCTCCGGATTCTGGGATCTTTATTTCCAAATGACATGCAAAATCTACTTTTATATGAAACAAAAGAGGTTGGACCACTGAGCAAAAGTCCAGTTCTTGTTCTCCCAGGTACGCCAAAAAATAAAAAGGGAACTTTTTCACAATATTCTAATTTTTGAGAGACACCAGTAAACCTTGTAATATTTCTCTCTGGCCTTCTGGTCATGGCAATTAATTTGTCTAATAAATAAATGCTTCAAAGTTTTTTAATGTTATGTCCATTTTTTATTGCCAGTATAAAAAAGATCAACAGAAAACCCAGCAAAGAAGCAACTGTCTAATTTAAATTTTTAAAGCTGCATAGCTGCTCTGGCTTCACAAAGCCGATGGTCAACAACTTTTTCGAACAAAATGGCTAAACATGAGGTAAAGTTATATGGCATCTCCTTCAACCAAGCTCACCCCCATCTCTAAACTGTTGATTTGGTCCTCTGAGGCGGACTTTTCACATTCGCTCTTGTTTTCATTCCTTCAGGTCCTCAAAAACAATCTGTTGTGGAGGCTGATGCATTCAATCTAAATACTGTATAAGAAAATCCTCTCATATAAACTGAACCCGCTTCACTCCTGTGCCATTTTCTCCCAACGCTTGTCCCTTGTTTAGCAAATTTATGAACACCACTTGCCATCAAGATGATCCTGGAGGAGTGCCGACACCTTTTTTTTTCCACCTTCTTCCATTTCAAATTCACATACGGGCGGGTAAGATATGGGGCCAAGATGGGGTAGAGGTAAGGCAGCTAACCTGGGACCCAAAAGCCTCAGATTCAATCCCCAGCACATAGCTGTCCACCACTCCACCTGGTGATATGGGTTAAAGGCAGAGAACCAATTTTGCCATTGTATGGAAACATACAATGATGACAACACATAGCACTTTATTTATTTATTACATACAGACCTAATTCCCACAGCATCAAACCAGATGCCCTTTGTCTAAACTAACATGCAATCCTTGCAGATTCATCTGTTTCCAGACCTTTGAAATTTCTTGGGAAATCATCCATCCATCTATCCAGCCAGCCAGCCAGCCAGCCAGCCAGCCAGCCAGCCAGCCATCCATCCATCCATCCATCCATCCATCCATCCATCCATCCATCCATCCATCCATCCATTATCTTTAGCCGCTTATTCCATTTTGGGTCACGGGCGTCACCGGTGCCCATGTCCAGTTATCACTGTGCGAGAGGTGGGGTACACCCTGGATGGGTCGCAAGTCCATCACAGGGCCTTCTTGAGAAACCTTCCTATATTAAGAAGTCAGTTCCACCTACCTGTCTGTATGTTTAACATGCTTTCCTGTGGGATTTCTTCAACACTTACCCATCCTGGACTCCTGAAACATCGGCTTACAAGCAAACATGCAAGACAAGACAAAAAAGTAAGACATAAATACAAAATCTAGAAAATCTGTTTTTGCTCTAGTCATCATTTTTCGTTAGCTTTTTTGTTTTGGTTCTCATCTAAAGACCTGCAATAACCTCAACTCTGTCAAGACTGTATATCTCTTCTTCCCACAAAAGTTCAACTCACCTGATTTATTCTCCTGTGAATTTTCTTTTTGTGTCAGTGTCTGAGAACCCTATAGTAAATTCTGTCATATGACATGAACACTGCAATAACCAGCTCTTTGTTGAAATTTAACTGGTACCTATGCACTGGAAAATGCATCCATCCATCTACTTTACCTATTTCTTCCTTTCTGGGTTGCGGGGTCACTGATGCCTGTATCCAGCTATCATTATACAAGAGGCAGGGTACACCCTGGACAGGTCTCCAGTCCATCACAGGGCCACATAGAGACAAAGAATCATTCACTCTCTAACTCTATGCACAGAGAGAACATGCAAACTCCCAACAGAAATGGTCCCTGGCCAGGATTTGATCCGGCAACCCTCTCACTGAGAGATGACAGTCCTACCAACTGAGCCACAGTGTCACCTGTAAAATACACAAAACGTTTTTTTTTGGTTCATCTTGCAGAGGTCGTGAGCAATACGACTTAGTGATCAACATGGTTGCCTCAGAGCAGGAAAATCCAGGGTTCAACCCCCAGCTTGGGCCTGGGGTCTTTCTGTGTGGAGTTTGCATGGTCTACTTGTGTTTGCTTGGGTTTTCTCTGGGTTCTCCGGTTTCCTTCCACAGTCCAAAAACATACATGTTAGGCTGCCTTCAAGCCCAGCCCTTCCTTGAAAAAGAGATCTGTAATCTCAGCAGGATTTGCCTATTTAAATAAAGGTTAATAAATTAATGAATAATAAAAGGCACCAAAATATAAATAATTATGGGTTTCAATTTAAAGAGGTTTGCTGCCACTTAAGCATTTGAGTTAAGAGTAAGGTTGCAGTAATGCACATTTTACATATTGTTAAATGTATTACGTGCAACAACAGAGAACACAGTTGCAGTTTTATTGAGGCAGATTGTCAAACAGCTGAACAAACATGACAAGAGTATGGATGAATGATGAACAGACAAAATACAAAAACAGCATGTGTTATGTCACATTTTAATAATTAGATTGCTTTTATTGAACCATTCCATCTGCTCCAAAATAAACTTTTGATCCCCCATTTAAAACTTTGTGAGCCACTAAAACTGATTACTTAAATGGGGCTCCAAGATGTGTGTGTGTGGGGTGTGTGTTTGTCTCACCGTAATCTGTGCTCTCTCACGGTCCCATCATCGTGCACAAACGTCTGGTTCACGTAGCACTCACTGCACATGATGTTGGCCGGAGATCCGGCGCCTCGGTCGGACTGGAGAGCTTCTGCAGTCGGCGTGGAGAAGTCCTGAACAAAGTCGTCTTCCTGGGTTATTTGCATCTGAGGGCGGCCCTGACAGACAGGAGTGGACTCCCTCAGAGAAAAAAATTAAGATATAAACAAACAAAAAAAAGTTATTCCTTCTGGTGTTTGAGGATCTCACCTATGGAGGTGCATTCTGAAAGAGGTTCCCCATCAATCTATGCAGACTGAAGCTGCAGGCAAAGCGACCACTGTGCGTGGGAGGCAGGAAAATGAGCTGACAGCCTCAGAGGAGGAGGGGGATACTGAAGATGTGGAGGACAGGTCTGGATCAGCTTCTCTCATCTCTGTACGCACAAGGCTGTTGCGTTTTCACCCAAATCTGGCACAAGCAGGATTATCACCATCTGGTGGAGGCTTAGAGCACTCACAACACATGTTGAGACAAAAAAGATGATCATTATCAAAAAGTTATTAATATTATTTTTATAATTGCACCAGCTTGATATAAACTAAAACAATTTAATATTTTACTTTTTAGGGATTCATTTATTGTTTGGGTGCAAATAAATAAATAAATAAATAAATTCCTATTATATAAATTGGCCCCAGATGTTAATAATGACTACACAGCAGACTTTATACCTCCCACATAAAAAAGGAACAAGAAAAATGATCATTGGATATCACCAAAGTTAAAATATTTTGTAAAGTGATTAAGAAAATCTAGTCCATGCTTTTAACACACTAAGACTGCTTTTCTGTTACTTTTAATCATATCCCAAAAATAAGTTTGACACTCTGTCAGTCTCTTTCCAAATTTGAACTGAAATGTGGGATTAATTTGTTATCCATGTTAGTTTATGTATAGGATAGGATTTAAATTTTTATTTTTAACTTACCAAGCTCTGAACACCCAAGCTGCATCCTACAGTACTGTCAATATCATATATATTTTTTATATTTTTCAGACTACAGGTTTACATGTGGTTCCCAGAGTTTCTATGAGTTGAAAGGATACAGAACTATTATTTTTAGTGGAAGAAGCTCTTTTGATAAGTAAAGCGGACATCTTGTCTTCTTTGACATTTAAAACTTTTTTTTTTAATAAAACTGAAATTGTGCCTTTGGTTATGCTCCCTTTTACTTTTGTTGCTATAGGTGTAAACTGCTGAAGGAGACACTGACCCCACTCTGCTCTTTTTACCCTCTTTATTCTTCATTTACATGTTCTTATTGTCACTAACTTTTTTAATTCAAAATGCCTACTCGGGGTATTTTATGTTTGCTTGTATCCCTTACCTGTGTTTTTACACAGCCAGTTGAGGTAGATGGCTGCCCTAACTGAAACTGGTTTTGCTGGAGATTTGTTCCTGTTAAAAAGAAGTTGTTTCTTTCCACTGTCACCCGCTGACTCACGCATGCTCTGGATGGAAGATTGCATCAAAATGAAGGATTACAGGCAAAACTTGTGCAACTTTTTACAATTTTTTGACAGTGTTGTTTTAATATTCATAGGAGGATTTGTTATCTCCTACAATTTTTAAAATTCATTAATTTTTTCTTTATAAAATATGATAAAAATAAACTAAATCTATATGCAAAAGTTGGGACGTAGTATCAAACAAAATTAAAGGCTGTAAACTGGTGGATATGATACAACAAAAAAATTATAAATATTTCAGATATTATAGCTGCCCACATATGCCTTATTAACTGATATTGATGTGCTGACTCTGTCAAGCAAAATGCTGTTATTCTCTGCAATTATCCAGTCATTTATAGAACAAACCCTGTGTGTATTTTCAGAAGGAAAAAAAAAGCCAAATGTTTTGACTTTTTTCAATATGCACAGAGTAATGACAGCTTCATGAGATGTTTTGTGGAGGATTTCTTGGATAACAAAGTTTGTAAGATGCTCTGCTACATTAGTTAGCTGTTTGTCTCTGCTATCTGTCAAAAAGAAATATCCAAAGAAAAGACAGACTGGATGTTTCTATCATTCTTTTTTCTTATCTGATGACGCATCTGGAGAAGACGTGGGTGAGGTGGTCTATGAATCACACAAGGCATGGTGAAGTGAGGTCATATGAGTTTCAAGCTCATGATGGATATTTGTGATTGAGTCAGTGCTAATGGGAGAGAAACTGTTTTTTATACTGATGGAAGGAAGAAAAAAAAAGTACATCTGTGATATTCCACCTGGAGGAGTGTGTAAATGATTAATGTTAAAAATGAATATGCAATTGCATTTTTACATTTATGCAGAAAGAAAAGCCTAGTAGAATGCTACGAGGTTCTGGTGAAATAATCAGACAGGAAAGCAGAATTTACCATACTGTACCACTTTATTTATAAAGCACGTAAAACAGCAACAAGGCCAACCAAAGTGCTGTACAGCAGAACAAACAAGCAAAGCACGCAGCAAAAATAAAACAAAGTAACATAAAATCATAGATATGAATGGAAGAAGATAATAACTAAATGGCCAAAATTATAGAATACAGACAGGTTAAGAACAAATCACAGTGTGAATAAAAGTGTTTTTTTAAACAAGACTTAAAAAACAGTGAGAGAGGGAGACTGCCTGGCATGTAGTGGTAAGTCATTCCACAGTCTTGGACCTGCAACAGAGAAAGCCCTGTCACCTCTGAGATTATGACAGATTCCTGGAAATGAAAGAAGCATCTGATCCACTGACCTCAGAAAGCAATGTCGGACATATGGCTGCAGCAGATCAGTGATAAGAAGGGGCAGAAATGTTCTGAACTGAACTTAAAATCAGATGTAATTGAAGGTTTTAGTTAGAGGGCTGTAAAAAAGTCATCCAAATCTGCAAATACCGTACACACACTGTATTATGATAGAGAAGAGGATAATAAACATATTTGTCATGCTGGAAAGTTTAGACTCAAATCATTGCAATGACTTTTGATATTGCATGTATCAGAAGACTTGTATGGACAAAATAAAACAAGGAACTCAGTGTCCCTTACCTGGACGTGGGTTACCGGGGCCCCACCCTGGAGCCAGGCCTGGGGGAGGGGCTCGTTGGAAAGCGCCTGGTGACCGAGTCTCTATGGGGCCCGGTCAGGCTCAGCCCAAACGAGCATCATGGGTTTGCCTTCCTGTGGGCCCACCATCTGCAGGAGGGACCATATGAGTCGAGTGCATGAATCCATGGGCAGTCACCAAAGGCAGGGACCTTGGCGCCCTGACCATGGCTCTTGGGACATGGAATTTGACCTTTCTGGTGGGGAAGGAGCCAGAGCTTGTATGTGAGGTTGAAAGGTATTGACTAGATATAGGTGGGCTCACCTTGACGCACAACATGGGCTCTGTAACCAATCTCCTTGAGAGGGGCTGGGCCTTTATCCACTCTGGAGTTGCCAATGGTGAGAGGCACCGAGCTGGTGTGGGTATACTCTTAGCTCCTCAACTTGGTGCCTGTGTGTTGGAGTTTTCCCCAGTAGATGGGAGGGTAGCTTCCTTGCGCCTTTGAGTGGGGGGATTGGCTCTGACTGTTGTTTGTGCCTATGTGCCGAATGGAAGTTCAGAGTAGCTGTCCTTCTTGGAGTCCTTGGTGGGGGTACAGGAAGGTGCACCAGCTGGGGACTTCTTTATTCTGCTGGGGGACTTCAATGTCCACGTGGGTAACAACAGTGTGACCTGGAGGAGTGTGATTGGGAGGAACAGCCTCTCTGATCTGAACTCAAGTGGTGTTCTGTTGTTGGACTTCTGTGCTAGTCATAGATTGTCCATCACAAACACAATGTTTAAACATAAGGATGTCCATAAGTGCACTTGGCACCAGGGCGCAGTAGGTTGTAGATCAATGATTGACTTTGTAGTTGTGTCATCTGATTTGCGGCCATTTGTTTTGG